ACTGTGTTCACCAGGATGGTCTCGATCTCCTGACCTCGTGATCCACCCGTCTCGGCCTCCCAAAGTGCTGGGATTACAGGCTTGAGCCACCACGCCCGGCCTATTATTTTTATTTTTATTTATTATTTTTATTTTATTTATTTTTTTGAGATGGAGTCTTGCTCTTGTCACCCAGGCTGGAGTGCAATGGTGCAATCTCGGCTCAGTGCAACCTCTGCCCCTCGGGTTCAAGAGATTCTCCTGCCTCAGCTTCCCAAGTAGCTGGGATTATAGGTGCCCGCCAGCATGCCTGGCTAATTTTTGTATTTTTAGTAGAGATGAGGGTTCACCATGTTGGCCAGGCTGGTCTTGAACTCCTGACCTCCAGTGATCCACCCGCTCTGGCCTCCCAAAGTGCTGGGATTACAGGTCTGAGCCACCGTACCCAGCTTATTTTTATTTTTTTGAGAGGGAGTCTCTCTCTGTCACCCATGCTGGAGTGCAGTGGCTCAATCTTGGCTCACCTCCGCCTCCTGGGTTCAAGCAATTCTTCTGTCTCAGCCTTCCAACTAGCTGGGATTACAGGTGCATGCCACCATGCCGGGCTAATTTTTTAGTAGAGATGGGGTTTTGCCATGTTGGCCAGGCCGGTCTCGAACTCCTGACCTCAGGTGATCCACCCACCTTGGTTGGTCTCCCAAAGTGCTGGTGTTACAGGCCTGAGCCACCACACCCAGCCTTTTTTTTTAAAAAAAATACTAATTATCCTAATGGACAGAAGGTGGTATCTCATTTAGTTTTGATTTGCATTTTCCTAATAATTAGTGATGTTGAGTATCTTTTCAGATGCTTATGGCCGTCTGTTTATCTTTGGAGACATGTCTAGTCAAATATTTTGCCCCCTTTTAAAATTCAGTTGTTTTTTGTTGTTGAGTTAGTTCCTTTTGTTGTTATTAGACAATTTTTTTTTTTTTTTGAGACAAGAGTTTCGCTCTGTTGCCCAAGCCGGAGTGCAATGGCGCTGTCTCGGCTCACTGCAACCTCTGCCTCCTGGGTTCAAGCGGGTCTCCTGCCCCGCCTCCCCAAGTAGCGCCATTCTCCTGCTTACACCACCACGCCCAGCTAATTTTTGTGTTTTTTTTTTTTTTTTTAGCAGAGAGGGGGTTTCACTATGTTGGCCAGGCTGATCTTGAACTCCTGACCTCAGGTGATCCACCTGCCTCGGCCTCTCAAAGTGCTGGGATTACAGCCGTGAGCCGCCACACCTGGCCGACAATTTTTTTGTTTTTAACTGTTAAGTTCAGGGATGCGTGTGCAGGTTTGTTATACAGGTAAACTTGTGTCATGGGAGTTTGTTGTAGATTATTTCGTCACCCAGTTATTAAGCCTAGTACCCATTAATTAATTTTCCGGATCGTCTCCCTCCCACCCCCCTCCCTCTGAAATAAAAAAAATTGTTTTTAGAGGCCGGGTCTTGCTCTGTGACTCAGGACCTGTGTCCACTCTTGTGCTGCCTCCTACAACAACCTTATGGCCTCTCTAACCTCAACCCAGTTAGCTTTCTTAAACCCATTTCCCTTTGATTGTAACATTTGTTGTTAGCCAGGTTCAGAAGGATAACATAATTATTATCCCAGCAGAGTACACCCACCCTGTAATTGGTAATAGAGATGTTTGGCCTCGTCACTGGGTTTGTGGTGACCGTCTGTGAGAAGCTGTAAGGAACGCGCTGGTCTTGAGTAGGGTCAAATGCTGCTCCTTCACCATCATCAGAGGCTACTTCATCACAGCCTCTGATTTGAGGATTCAAGTGGGAAAGACTCATGACAAGCAGCAGAAAGTCGAATTGGGAAAACAGTGCTCTCTGGGATGGGGCCACGCTCAGGTACTTAAATCATAACCTCCCTTGGGATGTTTCTGAAGCAGAAGTTGGGGAGGCAGCGCCCTGATCTCATCACTCAGTCTAGGCTGCACTGGTTCCCCCCTCCCCCCGCCGCGCCCCCAGCTCCCTGACCCACGTGAGGCCTTAGGAGGTCTGAAGTATCAGAAGTCCTTGGGCCAGTTAAGACTAGTAAGGTCCTGGGAGGCGATCTCAGCTGCCCGCTGCTGTGGGGGTGGGATGCCTGGTAAGGACACCAAGTCTCTGGCGTTGGCGTGGTTGGAATTTTCCCGGGGATCTCTACCTCCTCTTCAATCTGGTCACAGACGCATAGTTCATTCAGTAGGTGGTCCGGGACTTTATTCAGCTATAGGAGGGCAACAAAGACGACTTTGATGAGCGCCGGCTCTGCAGCTCTGCAGGTGCAGGGGAGGTGCACTGTATAGGTACCCCAGGACTGGCGCGGGCTGTGGGTCTATGCGAACGACACGACTGTGCAGGCGTCCCAGGAGTGGCGCAGGGTCAGAGTCCATGCAAGCCGCACGCACTGCGCAGGTGCCCCAGTACTGGCACGGGCTCAAGAGTCCATGCAAACCGCACGCACTGCGCAGGTGCTCCAGGAGTGGCGCAGGCTCAGTCTATGCAAACCGCATGCACTGCGCAGGCGTCCCAGGACCGGCACTGGCTCAGGGTCCCTGCGAGCCGCACGCACTGCGCAGGCGCCCCAGGACGGGTGTGGGCTGAGGGGCCACAGGAGCCACACGCACTGCGCAGGCGCCAGGAGGCCCTTCCTTGCAACCCTAGCTTTGCAGATAAAGGACGCTGGCGGGTTGCCTTCTGGGCTCACCGGCCGATTGCCCTTTCAGATTCAACATTTTCTAAATTATCTTTCAGTTTCTGCTGTAAAGAGTGGCCACCTCCTTTTCCCTCTAGGGGACTGAAGTCAGAGGAGAATGTTGCAGGGTTTGCCTCTGTGGTCATCTTCTTAGAGCACCGCCCCCCCTCGCGCCCCCACACCCTTTTCCTCAGCCGTTGCTTAGTGAGTCCCTGCCGTGGACCAGGCTTGGAGATGGTCCTCAAGTATTAGTTTAGGGGGACGACGCTGCGCTTCACAGGACCTACCCCAGAGTCGTATGACGCAGAAGCGCGCTGGTGAAGTGCGCATGTGCGGGCAGGGCCTCCAGTGGGACTCTCGTGGGGGCCGCAGCCAAGGACTGGGTCTGGCGGCCTGGAGAGCTGCTGGTTTCTCGGCCCTGGCCGGCGGGTCCTGGCCGAGAGTGGCATCTGGGGCTGTTCAGGATCTGGAGCTTCCTGAGTTGGAGGACTCTGTCCTCTGTGTTCAGGGACTCAGGGTGACCTGAGTTGGTGGTTCCTGGGTTTGCCTGCTCAACTGCTGGCAGGCGCGAGCACGGACTGTGCACTTTGTCATGCCATCAGTTACTTACTTTTGTTCTAAAAATTAATATTTGCATTATTACATTTAGATTCATATCTTACTGAATCTTATACTGCATAATTCTAGAACATTTTAACACTTATATGTGGGTCTTGGATTAACATTGATGCATATTTGCAAATTTATGCTTTAAAACATTTTTTTTTAGACACAGGGTCTCACTCTGTTGCCCAGGCTGTAGTGTGGTGGTGCCATCATAACTCACAGCAGCCTCAACCTTTCGGGCTCCAGCGATCCCTCCCTCCCCACCTCAGCCTCCCAAGTAGCTGGGGGCACAGGCACCCACAGCTGCGCCACCACGCCTGGCTAATTTTAATTTTTTTTTTTGTAGAGATTGGGTCTTGCCATGTTGCCCCGCCTGGTCTCGAACTCCTGGGCTCAAACGATCTTCCTGCCTCAGTCTCCCAAGGTGCTGGGATTACAGGGTTAACCACCGCGCCTGGCTCAGACAATTTTTATTGTGCTTATACATGTAATAGATGTAATTTTTTTTTCAAGCACCAGTTGTTTTTGTTAACCTTACAAAGCTGCCTTCAGTTTTCCTCAAGTTCACTCTTCTGCCTTCACTCACCTCCCATTCCTGAGTTAATTGTTTTGTGTACTCCCTCTCAGGTGACTGGCCGGACTCGGCTTCCCAGCTCTAACTGGAGAGTTGTCCCTACTGTGCGGCAGGCAGAGGAGACCTGTGAGCTGGAAGGGGGAGAGGGAATCTCATTTATTGTGTGCTTACTGTGTGTCAGGCACACTTTAGATACACTATAACATTTCATCTTTATTAGTCTGTTTAAAAAATTTCGAAACAAACACAAATGTGCAGAAAAGTTACGCATACAGTCAATACCGAGAGCTGATTCTGTTTCCTGAACCATTTGGAGTTGTCAGTCTGAACCCCCTCATTCCCAGGTACTTTGGTATTCAATAGATTCTTGGGGGCCGGGCATAGTGGCTGACGCCTTTAACCCCAGCACTTTGGGAGGCCGAGGCGGACGGATTGCTTGAACTCAGGAGTTCACTGGCAACATAGTGAAACCGCGTGTCTACTAAAACTAAAAATAAATTAGCCGAGCGCTGTGGTGCACGACTGTGGTCGCAGATACTCAGGAGGCTCAGGTGGGAGTATGGCTTGAGCCCAGGAAGTTGAGGTTGTAGTGAGCCGAGATCTAATGTAGGCATCAAGTTCTTTACCACGATCTGATCCTCAGGCCCCATTCAGGTTCCCCACGTGTTGCGGTAACGTCCTTAACAGGGAAAGGACCCAGTTCAGAATCATGCGTTGTATTTCCCAGCCTCTAGCCTCCTTCTGTCTGGAGGAGTTTCCCGGTTTTCCCTTGACTTTCATGGCTGTCATTTGTGAGTATGAGAGGCCAGTGATTTCACAGAATGGACGTCCACTGGCATGTCTGATACTTGGCAGGGGTATCTGAGAGGCAGTGCTGTGTTCTCATTGTATCTCATCCGCTGGTGTGGGACTGGGATTTGGGGATGTTCGCTGATCCCTTGGGGCAGGTGGCCGAGGCGCCTGTAAGGGATCTGGTCTTGGGGCACCCGCGCAGTCCCCGGACTAGGCCTTCCCGGCAGATCTGCGGGCGCCACCTGGCGGCCACTGCCGACTCCTCCCTTGCGCTCCAGCCACTCCTCCCCTCCCGGTGCCGTGGCCCGGGGCCGTTCCCTGGAGAGTAGACTACTGGGGCTGGTGCCGGGAACCGGGGCCTGCAGGGGGCGACGCAGGCGGGCCCCCAGGTCATGCGGGGCCCCTCTGCTCACAGGGACCAGCCAGGCCAACCTGGGGAGGGTGCCTCTTCGTTTATGTCTGTATTTCTCTGCCTGTCTGTGGAAACCACACATCTCCAATTCTAAGCCAACACCACAAGATTCATTCTGCTTCTCTTGGAGACGCCTGCTTTCCTGCCTGCCTTCCTGCCTGCCTGCCTTCCTTCCTCCCTCCCTCCCTTCCTCCCTCCTTCCCTACCTTCCTTCACCAGGTTATGAAACTGGCTAGTTTTTCATATTTTTTGTAGAGACAGAGTTTCACCGTGTTGCCAAGACTGGTCTCAAACTCCTGGGCTCAAGCGATTCACTTGCCTTGGCCTCCCAAAGTACTGGGATTATAGGCATGAGCTACTGCACCCGGCCTTTTTTCTTTTCTCTCTCTTTTTTTTTTGAGACAAGGTCTCACTCTGTTGTTCAGGCTGGAGTCCAATGGCATGATCTGAGCTCACTGCAGCCTTGAACTCCTGAACACAAGAGATCCTTCCACCCCGTCCTCCAGAGTGCTAGGGTTGCAGGCCGAGCCACCACGCCAGGCTGAGGCATTTTTCTAAGTGTCTTTGCTGAAAGTGAGAAGACTGGCTTACGTTATCCTCAATATGTTTATTTCTGTGATCACCCTTTTGTAATTAATCTCTGGTGTCCACCACCAACTGATACCCATGTGAATGCATGCCTCGCCCCACCTGGGCTCTGACACGGGCAGGTTTCCTTCTTGTCTTGTATGTCTGTCCCCCTCACCCTACAGACCCTGACTCCTGTGTCAGGCTGCCCTTTCTTGGGGACCCCTGTATCACCATGCCTGGCCCTGATGCCTCTTGCCAGGGTGCCATTCTGTGGGAAGGCCCTCTGCACTGAGCTTGGGCACTGACGCTCTGCCCTGGCCCCGCCTCACCGCTGTTGCCCTGCACCTGCACCTTGCTCTGCCCCGTCTAATCTAGGACTGAATTCTTCAGGCAGGGGAGAGGACCCACGTTCCCTGTCGCTGGAATAACAGCTCTGGTGATGAAACTGGTTTTCATTTCATAATTGCAATTTTAGTTATAGTGAAAGAGACAAAAATTTGTATTGGAGCAATTCATGGGCATCTCCGCAAAAGGAAAAATATAGTTTGAATAGCAATTTGAATATGACTTTTTTTTTTTTTTTGGTGGTAGTTATAGAGAGCTGAAAAAGGCAGCAGAGGCTGGCTGTGTAGGTAGTAGGCAGCTTGGCCAGTTGGCAGAGGCAGGAGTAGGATGTTGGAGCAGGGTGTACTGGTTCTGCCTGGTCAAACCCATGCTGGAGTCGCCTCAAAGGCAGTGGCAGGGGAATTCCCTCAAGGGGCTGCTCCAGACTGCCTGGAGATGGGGCCAGCTTGGATTCCAAAGAAAGAAGCACTAAACGCCAGGGTGATGAGTCCACAGCATTCACGAAGGGAACTTAGAAGAGCTGCGGCAGTCCTGGGACAGCCAGTGAGAGAAAGGGACATTTACCTAGGGCTGTCTGCCACGGGGGGGCTGGGGTTTGGAGTGTATGTGGGAGTTTGAGGACTTTGTCATGGCAGGGCTAGTTTGTAGGTGTTTCTCAGCAGGATGAATCTTCCAGTGTTCTCCAGCAACAGCCTTCACTCTTTATTAGTCCTGAGAACGTTCACGGCCCCAGTTTGGGTTCAAGCCTGCAGGGAAACACACAACTGGCTGGGTCACAGAGTGGTCAGGGCATAGACAGAAAGTAGGGGGAGATTGGGGGATCCTCCTGTGGCCCGTGTTGGAAGATGCTGATCCCCGCTGTCCACCCTGCCAGATGTCCAGGGTGCTGCAGAAGGACGCGGAGCAGGAGTCACAGATGAGAGCGGAGATCCAGGACATGAAGCAGGAGCTCTCCACGGTCAATATGATGGACGAGTTTGCCAGATACGCCAGGCTGGAAAGAAAGATCAACAAGATGACGGATAAGCTCAAAACCCACGGTACTGCGTCCCTTGCAGCCTGAAGGCTTCGTGAGAGCTGATTTATAGAGAAGTCTGTATGTAAAGATTAGTAGAATACATACTTTGCTTCTTGGATGTTTTGAATATTGATGGAAACTTTTAAGTTATCTGGAGGAAACTCAGTAATAATTACTTTCTTCTTATTTGTTGGTGAACCTTTGCTTTCTAATCACAGAAACATCTAAGAATCCTCTCAGATTTTCCTCAGAGCCAACTCTTTATTGTAGGTTTTCATTTTTAAATTCATCACTTTTCTGAGAGAAGCCCAGAAAAAAAGTCTCACAGTGGATTGTCAGAGGCTTTTGTTCCACTCTCTAGAAAAATGCCCAGCAGTGTCCTCTTCCGAGTGTCACCTCCCGGGTACAGTCTCCTGTGATGAAGAGCGCTTTCTCAGGGCAGCCCGTGTGCTGAGGAACCCTGTGCACAGTGTGTGCACAGTCAGACAGCTGTCTCTGTGGCTAGGAAAACAGACAAAGGGGGCCTGTCCAGGCCCAGGACAAGCTGGATTCCCACCAGGGGTTCGTGTACTGTGCAGACTGGGAAATAGGGAGGAAAATTTAGTCCTGTTGGTAAGTGGTAATTCTATTATACGAAGAATCTTTGATTTCATGAGTCATTTTAAGAGTTTTCAAAGGCCGGTGCAGTGGCTCAAGCCTGTAATCCCAGCACTTTGGGAGGCCGAGACGGGCGGATCACGAGGTCAGGAGATCGAGACCATCCTGGCTAACACGGTGAAACCCCATCTCTGCTGAAAAATACAAAAAAACTAGCTGGGCGAGGTGGCAGGCGCCTGTAGTCCTGGCTACTCGGGAGGCTGGGGCGGGAGAATGGTGTAAACCCGGGAGACGGAGCTTGCAGTGAGCTGAGATCTGGCCACTGCACTTCAGCCTGGGCGACAGAGCGAGACTCTGTCTCAAAAAAAAAAAAAAAAAAAAAAAAAAAGAGTTTTCAAAAAAAAAGAGTTTTCAAAATTAAAGCTATTCAAATCTCAATCTGAATAGGATTCTATTTTAAATAATGGCATAATGAGATGGTGGGTGACTTAAAAATTCCATTGTACATTTTCTAATTATGTTGAATATGTTGAGTGATTGTTCCATTTATAATCAGAAAGTGTATTATACGGGAAAATAACATTTCTGTGTATTTGAATATGTTGTTAATTTTTTAGGACTGACGTAATTGTTTATCCTGTTTTTCCTTTCAGTGAAAGCTCGGACAGCTCAATTAGCCAAGATAAAATGGGTGATAAGTGTTGCTTTCTACGTATTGCAGGTAAGTGTGCTAGAGCGCCAGCCGGGTCATTGGAGTTGGTGGCCCTGAACTCCAGAGCGTTGCCTGCAGATCCAGGGCTGGGAGTTTGGGCTGTTCCACCTTCAGCTATCCTGTCGTGTGGCCCTGCCCACACGGAGCTGTAAACACTCTCGGTCTGTAAGTCAGACTAAAAGGAAGCCTTTCTCTTGAGGAGAGTTGTTACAGTTTGGGACTTTTTGGCAGATGAACTGTGAAGGAAGTTTCTCAGAGAGCTTCCACCACGCCTTCATCCCCTTGTGATTTGAACGGCCAGGTGGGATGAAGTGAGAAGCTTATAGATGACGTTGGTTTTTTCTGAGATCTTCAGTAATTTGGCTCTTACTTGTTACCTGGTATACTTCATGGGCACTCTCCATCCTCCAGGTAGAGAACCAGCTTTTCTCACTGAAATTGGCTTCTAGCCTTCCTGCCTGGGGCTTAACCCACGGAGCCTCTCCTGGAGCTGTTGCTGGGCTCTGCTCTGCCCCGAGAGTACAGTTGTGCTACCCAGACACCTTTAGCAGCTGCCGTAAATATCCGAGTTGCAGTACTGTGTGATCTAGTACCAAGGCAAAGCATTCAAGCTCACCCTGCAAAAAGCTTAGTTTGGGGTGGGTAGATTTAAGGAAATTGATCCTGAGGCACTGCCATTTGCGAAGAGGTAAATTTCCTGCAGATAAAGGAGTTAGGCCAGCAACCCTCTTTCATGTCTCCTCTTCTGAGTGGCCTATTCAAGCCAGGAAGAGGACAGATGACAGTCGAAGGAATGCTGCAGGGGGATGGAGGGAAATAAAGCATCCCCCACCATTGAAACTTACACAGGGCTCACCTCTGTGTGCCTTGCTAACACTGGTGCACTTGGGAGAATTCCCTGTTTTTTCAAGGATGGCTTTCATCACTAATAAGGTGTGTTTAGTGTACAGTCTGGCTACCCAAAGCAGATACTCAGTGAGAAAAGCACACCCGTGTTATGGGAGACTTTGGTTAGTTGATCAGCTAATTCAAATTATGTGTAGATTGTATTTATCCTAAAACAGGGAAATGCCAGTTCACAGAGGAAGGCTCGCCTACTTGTTGGCAGTGTTCCGGACATGCCGCTGAGCTCGTCTTTAATTAGACTTTCTAATTCAGGGTTTCACCAGGGGACATTAGTGGCCGTGTGTGCTCATCTGTTGTCTGTGGGGACTGGGTTCCTAGGCTTGAGGTGCTCAGTCTGGAGAGTTTTCCTGGGTTTGTTTTCGCATTTCCCTGTGCTCCCTTCTGTGCGGTGGGTCGTGTGACCGGCAGGCTGTGCCACTCACCACAGGTGTCTTTCCAGGCTGCGCTGATGATCTCACTCATTTGGAAGTATTATTCTGTCCCTGTGGCTGTTGTGCCGAGTAAATGGATAACCCCTCTAGACCGCCTGGTAGCCTTTCCTACTAGAGTAGCAGGTAAGAATTTTCTGGAAGATATAGTGGAAGAGTGTGGATAGGCTTGTGTAGAGGTGTGTGGTAGAAGATTAAGTTAGCCTGACATCCTCCTCACTGTCCATTTAGTGAGCAGGTTTTGTGAGGCTTGCCATGAAGAAACTGAGGTCTAGAAAAGTTACCTCACTTGTCTAGTGTCACCAAAATGTTAAGGAGCAAAGCTAGAATTCAGTCCTAGGTCTGTTTCCGGGACCCATGCCCAGTGCGTCAAGTCTGATACCCCATTGAAACACTAGCTGTAGGTCCACAGTTCTGTCTCTTTTCAGTCCCCATTGTGGTTGGCCTCTCTGTAGCACTTGATGCTCTTGGCTATTCTTTTATTTTTTATTTTTTGAGACAGAGTCTTACTCCGTCACCCAGGCTGGAGCACAGTGGTGCGATCTTGGCTCGCTGCTACCTCTGCCTCCCAGGTTCAAGCAATTCTTATGTCTCAGCCTCCCATCTAGCTGAAATTACAGGCGTGCACCACCGTGCCCAGCTGATTTTCATAGTTTTTAGTAGAAACAAGGTTTCACCATGTTGGCCAGGCTGGTCTCAAACTCCTGACCTTAAGTGATCCTCATGCTTTGGCCTCCCAAAGTACTGAGATTACAGGCATGAACCACTGTGCCCGACCACGTTCTTTTATTTTTGAAGATAATTTTTTTGGATATTAAAAGTAGTACATGTCACTATAGAATGATTAGAAATATAGTGATTAATTACAAACCCCAGCTGGGTTCACTGGCTTACACCTGTAATCCTAGCACTTTAGGAGGCCAAGGTGGGCGGATTGCCTGAGCCAGGAGTTTGAGACCAGCCTGGGCAACATGGTGAAACCCTGTCTCTACTAAAATACAAAAAATTAGCTGGGCGTGGTGGTGCGTGCCTATAATCCCAGCTACTTGGGAGGCTGAGGTGTGTGAATCACTTGAATCCGAGAGGGGGAGGTTGCAGTGAGCTGAGATCATGCCACTGTACCCCAACCTGGGTGACAGAGTGAGACTCTGTCTCAAAACAAAATAAAATAAAATAAATAAAAAATAAGATTCCTATTAGCTTTTAATGCTGTGATATATTTTTCTTTGTCTTTTTTTTCCCATTTATTTTGATATAGTTAAGGTCACCTGGCACATAACATTTTGTACCTCCTTTTTACTTTATAGTGTAAGCCTATTCCCACGTCTTAGTTTTTTAGGGCTAAGTGAAATACTATAAACTGGGTAGCTCATAAACAACAGAAATGTATTTCTCACTGTCCCGGAGGCTGGGGAGTCCAAGATCGAGGTGCCGGCAGATTTGATGTCTGATGATGGCCCATTTTCCTGTTCATGGATAATGTCTTCTCACTGTCCCCTTGCACGGTGGAAGGACGAGCTCCCTTAGGCCTCTTTTGTAAGTGCACTAATCCCATTCACAAGGACTCTGCCTTTGTGACTTAATCACCTCCCAGAAGGCCCCAACTCTTAATGCCATCACTGTGGGGGGTAACATATTAACAGATGAATTTTAGGGGGATACAAACATGCAGACCATAGCACCATATCAGTAAATTTCTTTTCTTTTCTTTTTTTTTTTTTGAGGCAGGGTCTTGCTGTGTTGCCCAGGTTGGCAGTGGCACCCTCCTAGCTCACTACAGCCTCGAACTCCTTGGCTCAAGTGATCCTCCCACCTTAGTCTCCTGAGTAGTTAGGGTCACAGTTGCACACCACCATGCCCAGCTAATTAAAACAAAAGTTTTTTATAGAGATGGGGTCTTGCTTTGTTGCTTAGGTTGGTCCCAAACTCCTGGCATCAAGCAATCCTCCCTGCTCAGCTTCTCAGAGTGCGGGGATTATAGGCGTGAGTCACCTTGCCCGGCACATTTCTTCATTAAGGAATTTGCAGTAGCTGTTCTTCATTTAGATATGTCATCTGCAAATTTTCCTGAGGAAGGATATTTATTTGGGTCCTGATTTTTTGCTGTTAAAGATAATGCTGCAGCACACATCCCTGCTGGTCTTTGGTTGTGATTTGTGGTTATGCTAGAGGTGAATACTGTATCAGAAGGAATGACTATTTCTTTTTTTTTTTTTTTTTAAGACAGAGTCTCACTCTGTTGCCCAGGCTGGAGTGCAGTGGCGTGATCTCAGCTCACTGCAACCTCCGCCTCCCAGGTTTCAAGTGGTTCTCCTGCCTCAGCCTCCCCGGTAGCTGGGATTACAGGTGCCCACCACCACGCCTGACTAATTTTTGTAGTTTTAGTAGAGACAAGGTTTCACCATGTTGGCCACGCTGGTCTTGAACTCCTGACCTCAGGTGATTCACCCGCCTTATCCTCCCAAAGTGCTGGGATTACAGGCGTGAGCCACTGTGCCTGGCTGGGAATGTCTGGTTCAAAGACTCCCAATTTAGCTACCACTCCTGTCCCGTTCTCCACCCTTTCCTTCCCCTCTCCTTTGTTTGACACAGCTGGGCCTAGGCCAGGAGCTCTGCGCTGCGGGCCAGAGAAGCATCCAGCCACCCTTCCATGCCTCCAGCAGGGCCATGGGCTACTCTTGCAGCCTGTCCTCCTGGACAGGGGGATATGTGTGCCTCTCCATTATTGGTGGGGCAAGAAAGGCATAGGTAGACATTGCTTTGTTTATAATGCTTTCTGAGAAAGGAAAAGTTAATCTTACAGGTTTGGTTTTGGAATCTATTAATATCATAAGTAGTAACGCACATCTCTCTGGCAGGAAAGGGAAGTTCAGCCCAGGGTCCACTGTTCACTGCGATTCCTGCTTAGTAAAGAATGCAGCCCTGTGACTCTGTAGAAAGTGACAAATTCGGGCTGGGCACGGTGGCTCATGCCTGTAATCCCAGCACTTTGGGAGGCGGGCGGATCATCTGAGGTCAGGAGTTTGAGACCAGCCTGACCCACATGGTGAAACCCTGTCTCTACTAAAAACACAAAATTAACCGAGTGTGGTGGCGCACACCTGTAATCCCAGCTACTCGGGTGGCTGAGGCAGGAGAATCACTTGAGCCCGGGAGGCAGAGGTGTAGTGAGCTGAGATCGCACCATTGCACTCCAGCCTGAGGGATAGAGCGAGACTCTGTCTCAAAAAAAAAAAAAATAAATAAGTAAAGAAAGTGACAAATTTGAACCTATGAAACATAAACTTCGCCTCAGCCTAGCACTGCTCAAAAATAGTGGAAATACTGTCTTTGCTGTGAGTTAAGGACAGCAGAGACAGATGTGGGCAGCACTGCTGGGGCGCTCTCTCATGGTGAATTTCTTTGTTTTCAGGTGGTGTTGGAATTACCTGTTGGATTTTAGTCTGTAACAAAGTTGTGGCTATTGTGCTTCATCCATTCAGCTGAATAGGAAGATGGATACAGCTATGAAACTTTTAAAAATGGATTTTCTCTTATTAGGTTAAAAATCTGATTTACACTGTTTTGTTTTTTAAGAAACAAATGTGCACAGTTTCGATTTTTTTTTTTTGTTGAATATGTTTGTTCTTGGACTTTATGAGAGATTCTTGTAAGAATCATGATTTTCTACACCTGTCATTGAGTCAAGAAAGTCCAGTTTATGACACGTGTGTACAGTGAACACCATCCTAGATCTGTACGAAATGTGAAATGTTTAGGGACATCTCCGTGCCGTCACTTGTGATTTGCCCTCTTGTGTATTTTGGTCATATTGCCAGCTGGAAAGTCAAAATTTTCTAACAACTTTAAGTTCTTTGAAGACTTAGTGCTGTTTTTAATCCAGTTTAGAAAGTAACTTAATTTTAATACCACTACTAAGAATTCAAAAAGTTCTCCTTTAATCACATTCAATACAACTAAAAGAACAACACTAATTGGCATTACTGGGGCTTTTTCTTCCTTGGTTTAAAATGTCATTTGTTGAGGAAGCATTGTGTAGTATTATCTACTTACTTGAGGCTGTTAATTTTTCATTACAGTGTTTTGTAAATGTATCCACAAGACCATAATGCATTGTTTTGTGCTCAAATTGTGTTTTGTATTTAAGGCATTTTGAATGAAGTGTATTTTATAAGCATTTAATATTTATGCTCTTTAGAATGGAACACAGAAAACAAACCTTATAAGGCCTGATTAAATTAATCGGAACCAATAACCTGTGTGGCCCACAAAATCTAATTCTGCTAAATGTTTCTTCAAACACTTTTTTCTAATTAAAATCTTTGCAAGTGCTTGTGTAACTTCCTGCCTTACAGCTGCTTGTTTGCTGTGAGCCACCCGCAACTGACAAGCGGCTGTTAAGTGAGTAACCCTATCACAGTAAAGCTGAATTCTCCCACTGGTTTCTGCAAGTTCGTATTTGTATTCTTTTGTTTCCTAATCTAATAAGGAGCTTGTCGTTCTTTTAGCTGATTGGACTATGAAAAGACAAAGTGCTGTGGTCCTTTCGTTTATTGTCATGCTGAAGACCACCAGAGCGGCTTTTGGGTTCCACTTACTCAAACACACATGCACTGCAGGCTTACCCAGCACCAAGTCTACTTAGCTTTAAGAAAGGACAGAGAGCAGGGACCACAGCTGCAGCCTCGAGGAGGACCTGGACACCAGCTTCCAGTGTCCATCACCACACGGGATACATTTTTCCCACAAAGAATTAGAAGCCAAGTGAGGAGGAGATGAGAGCAGCACACGGAAGCTGCAGGGACTAGTCCCTCGAACCAAATGTAGCACCAAGGGGGCACGTGCCTAACTTGCGTTTCAGTGAGCTGCAGGCAGAAATGATGGCGAACAGTCAGCAGTGCGCCGGCCATGTAGAGCGTGCCCAGGGAACTGTGGGGATCACTCGTTCGCATACAGTGCCCCTGATGAGACCCTTATCTCTTAAGGACAGTCTCATTCAGTTATTAGAAGAATTTTGACAAATCTCACTGAGGCTAGAGGTAAAAATTTCTAGTTCACAGCTGTTAACTTTCCCCATACGTGAATAGTTTGTGATGATGAAATAGGGGAGGTAAATGTCCTTTATATTTCACTTTATTGTGTCTTTTTAGAAATTATACACTTTTTTTGGTCTCCCAGGCTGGAGTGCAGTGGTGCGATCTCAGCTCACTAACCCTGCCTCCTGGGTTCAAGTGATTCCCTGCCTCAGCCTCCCGAGTAGCTGGGATTACAGGTGTGCGCCACCACACTCAGTTAATTTTGTATTTTTAGTAGAAACAGGATTTCACCATGTTGGCCAGGTTGGTCTCGAACTCCTGACCTCCGGTGATCCACCCGCCTCGGCCTCCCAAAGTGCTGGGATTACAGGTGTGAGCCACCGCGTCCTGCCTACAATTTGTTTCAACAGATGATGAACATGGTGCTGAATTCAGAAGATAGAGAAAGGGCTGCAGTAAATGTGCATCTTATGACTCTTGTCACCCAATTTCCCAAAGTTTTCCTCTGTTACCAGTTTCTTACGACACTGCCGGTGATATTCCATGCATTTATGAATATTAATATATGTGCTTTTAAGATAAATGTTTTAAAGTTATAAAAGTAATACCCAAAAAGACAAAAGTAGTACCTATTTACTGCTTTTTTAAAAAAATCTAACTTGGGAAGTACAGAAAAGCAGCAAGGAAGAAAAACCTGTGACTCCATAGCACTAGGGTGGCTGGCGTTAGCATCTATGCTTTTGCTTTTTTCTAGATATGTGTGTATAATGTTGAAAGCTAATGATAGGTTTTATTTTGTTTTAAATTTATTTTTATTTATTTTTTGAGATGGGGTTTTGCTCTGTTGCCCAGGCCAGAATGCAGTGGTGCCATCTTGGCTCACTGCAACCTCCGCCTCCTGGGTTCAAGTGATTCTTCTGCCTCAGCCTCCTGAGTAGCTGGGACTATAGGCTTGCACCATGACGCCTGACTATTTTTTGTATGTTTAATAGAGACAGGGTTTCACCATGTTGGCCAGGCTGGTCTCTAACTCCTGACCTCAGGTGATTCACCTGCCATAACCCCCCAAAGTTGGGATTACAGGCCTGAGCCACGGTGCCCAGCAGGTTTTTGTTTTTATTTTAAAAATACTGGATCTATTTTATAATTTTATGTGAAAACAGGTATCTCTTTGATTTAAAATACGTCTAAAGCACTGGGCGTGGTGCCTCACACCTGTAATCCCAGCACTTTGGGAAGCTGAGGTGGGCGGATCACGAGGTCAGGAGTTCAAGACCAGCCTGACCAATATGGTGAAACCCCGTCTCTACTAAAAATACAAAAATTAGCCAGGCGTGGTGGCGCACGCCTGTAATACCAGCTACTCAGGAGGCTGAGGCAGGAGAATCGCTTGAACCCAGGAGGTGGAGGTTGCAGTGAGCCAAGATCACACCACTGCACTCCAGCCTGGGTGACAGAGCGAGACTCTGTCTCAAAAAAAAAAAAAAAAAAAAAAAATCTAAAGCTCTCTTCATAACAATTTTTTTTTGGTCATAAATTTATGGTAAATCAGGGAAATTTTTTAATATATAAATCCATAATCTTTTTTTTTTTTTTTTTTTAAATAGAGACAGGGTCTCATTATGTTCCCCATGCTGGTCTCAAACTCTTGGGCTCAAGTGCTGGGATTACAGACATTAGCCACGACGCCCAGCCCATAATCATTTTTTACAGGTTTTATGTGCTCCTGTTGCCGCCATAGGGGCTGGAATGCTAGGCAAACTGGTTTACTTTCCCCTGACCTGGCGGGCTCTCTGACCTTCCATAGTTTTTCTTACACAGTGCTTTGTGGGAGAGAGTGTGTGTGTGTGTGTGTGTGTGTGTGTGTGTGTACGTATGTGCTGACGGCCCCCCTGGAACCAGAGCTTTAGACTTAATAAAGCTTTCTCTGACCCCCTTATGGTAGTGATTTTTCTTTCCTATCCATCATGTGAGCATTTAAAGTAGTAGCTGTATGACTGATTGGTGGTATCTGCTGTTGTGGTTTTGTTTCTAATGTTGTAGATCCTTTTTCGTGTGTGTGATAAAAGGTTATTTCAGTGATGCTGCAAGCGCCTTTAGGGCCTGGGATTATCCCTGAGCTTTTCTGTACTCCTCCAGCATGCCTTCAGTCAGTACCCAGGAGTATTTAACTCAGAATCACATAATGGTTTTCCACTAGAGCCATGTATGGAGTCTGTTTTCTTTGCAGTTGAAATGTTAGCAATTAACAACTGTCAGGAGAATTTTCTAAGTGCTGCTGTCTTATAAGGCCTGCAGTATAGAGCACTTTGGTGATGTCACAGATTCAAAGCCACACGTGATTGGTTTGAACACCACTGGAATCCCAGGCCAGGCAGCTCATTCTGTCTCTGGGCCCAGGGTTCTTGTGTGGGTTGGCTTTCCTGCATGCGCCTTTGGGATCTAATGTGTATAAATCTGTCGACACTCAGAGTGCTGACTCTTACCAGTGAATTCAGTCTTAAATTGCATGAATATTGTGTAGTTTTGGCCAATATTGTGGGTAAGGATATTGGACTCTAAAGGGTAGGACAGTCATTCCTTTATATTGGCCAAATTCTTTTCCTGTATTTTTTTTTTTAAGAGACAGGGTCTCATTCTGTCACCCAGGCTGGAGTGCAGTGGCGTGATCATAGCTCACTACAACCTCGTGCTTCTGGGCTCAAGCGATCCTCCAGCCTTGGCCTCCTGAATAGCTGGGATTACAGGCATGCGTCACCATGCCTGGCTGTTTCTCATTTTTTATTTTTATAGAGAGCAGGGTCTGACTGTGTTACCCAGGCTGGTCTCGAACTCCTGGACTCAAGTGATCCTCCTGCCTCAGCCTGCTGTGTAGCTGGGACAACAGGTGTGTACCACAACCGTGGGCTCATTTTAAAATTTTTTTAGAGATGGGGTCTTGCTATGTTGTCCAGGCTGGTTTCAAACTCCTGTCCTCAAGTGATCTTCTGCCTCAGCTTCCCAGAATGCTGTGATTATAGGTGTGAGCCACTGTGCCCAGCCATTGTTCCTGAATCTTTTTAAAAAATAGTTTTTATTAAATATTGAGAGGTATAAAATATTTAAAATATGTAAATTTTAAAGAATGAAAATACAAATCTTTGTATCTTTCACCCAAGTTTTAGAAGAACCTTTGCGATCCCAACTGAGCAAAGGTAACACCATTGCTCTGAGTTTTATCATTTCCTATTCGTCATGGTCGTATCACATATTTGAATCTGTAAAAATACGTTGTTTGGTTTCGTATGCTCTTCAGCACACAGACATGGCTGTTGTTTTGTGCTTCACTTTACCGTGCTCCGTAGACACTATCTTTTTCACAAATTGAGGGTTTGTGGCCACCCTGCATCGACCAAGTCTGTCAGCGCCGTTTATCCACAGCACGTGCCCACTTTGTGTCTCTGTGTCACGTTTTAGGGGTTCTCACGACATTTCATATTTTTTCATTATTATATGTTATGGTGGTCTGTGACCAGCGATCTTTGATGTTACTATGGTAATTGTTTTGGGGCATCAACAATTACACCCGTACGAGGCAGCAGATTTAATGTATAAATGTGTGGGTTTTGACTGCTCCACTGACTTGGCCATTCCCTTCTCTCCCCGCTCCCCAGGGCTCCCTATTCCTTAAGACACAAAAATGTTGAAAGTAGGGCAACACTGGCCCCTAATTTCAATAATAATGGTGGCTTCTAAACGTTCAAGTGAAAGAAGAGTTACGTGTCTTTTGTGCTAGCTTTTCTTTTAATTAATTTGAGATGGAATCTTGCTCTGTTGCCTAGGCTGGAGTGCAGTGGCGTGATCTCGGCTCACAGCAACCCCTGCCTCCTGGGTTTAAGCGATTTTCCTGCCTCAGCCTCCTGAGTAGCTGGGATTACAGGCATGCAGCACCACGCCTGGCTCATACTTGTATTTTTAGTAAGAGACGGGGTTTCACTATGTTGGCCAGGTTGGTCTCGAACTCCTGGCCTCAAGTGATCTGCCTGCCTCAGCCTCCCAAAGTGTTGGGATTACAGGCTTGAGCCACCTGTAAAGAATCTGAGTTCTTTACTTACAATTTTTTAGTTCACTGAGCTGGAGACCCCAGGGAGGTCCCAGCATTGTATGGAAAAGGGACCCCCTAACTTGGGCTGCCTGGGTTTTGTCCTCAGGAGGAGTCTGTGATGCTCAGTTCTCTAATTTCGGCAAATGCCCTTTAGGCAGAAGCTTACTTTAGTGCTTTGCTTACTTATCTCCTCGGGTGCCTAATTTCGTTGAG